CCCACCCCACCCCACCCCAAACGCAACAAAAAAAAGAATATTACCAAAATCTAAATTCGAAACCAACGGAAACAGCTACAAAAATATCTTAATGAACGCAGCTATGTAGGGGGGGAGTGGGGGATGGTGGACTGGCAGCTGATGAATGTTGTGTGTGGCAATGTTTATGATGAATTGCCCAAAGAAGCTCGTTAGGTGCGAGCGAGCAACATAGGGAGAGAGAGAGAGATTATACTAAAACGCATAGCTAAAGCAGAAGGCGACGAGGAAGAGTAACGACAACAACAACAACAACCAGAAAATGAATGCAAATTGAAATTCCAAGATCGAAATCAAAGATGGCGACGCACCAAAAACAAAGGCGCAAGCTAAAAACAAAAGACAACGACAACAACAACAACAACAACAAGAGCAAGACGAGACACAAAGCCGAACAGACAACAGAAATTTAATGCAATGAAAATCAAATAAATTGCAATGAAAAGGCAACAACAACAACTAAAACAGCAACAACAATGTCAACGATAGCAATCACTGAACATGGTGGGCCGACGCCAACAGCGCTGTCGCTGTCGCCGTCGCACGCTGCTTGCGTCGCTGCCAACTGCCAGCTGCGAGCTGCGAGCAGCATTTAACGAGAGCGGCTCACCAAAACTGAAGCATTTGAAAAATGCATAAGGAGCTCCATGCAAATGTGCTGATAGTGTCGGTGGCTATGTCGCGGGGCGCGGTGCGGGGGGGATAGCAGTGTAAGCAGGCAGAGGAGCACCAAAAATGGACAAAAACGCAACGGCAAAAAGCAAGAAGAACGAGAGCGCGGCCGTCGATCGCAGAAGAGCGAGCGAGAGAAGAGCGCAAAATGAAATGAGCCTCACTGGAAACTGGAAGTGCCAGGCACTCACCTTATATGAGGAAAAGCACAAAGTGGCGACTGCAGCTTAAACAGTGGGCAGCAGGCAGGGGCAGCGGGCAGCGGACAGCGGACAGCGCAGCAATTGCAACGCATAAATTTTGGAGCATGTTGCCAGCTTATTTTTTTTCTTTAATGTTATTTTTTTGCATGCTGCTAGAGAACCAGCTGCAATTGCCAACGGGGCGCGTGTCCATGTGAATGTCATGGATGTGAATGCATTGGAGGCTCGGGCTCGGGTTCGGGATCGGGTTCGGGCTGGTGCTGGGGCTTTCACCCGTGGAATGCGAGCAGCGGCAGCGGCAGCAACAGCAAATTAGCTCAAATGCCTGTGCCGCAGGGCAAAGTAGTTGCAGCAGCTGTTGTTGTTGTTGTTGTTGTTGTTGTTGTTGTTGGCCCTTGCTGGCAAGTGCTAAGAATAAAAACAACAACAACAGTAAATGTAGCAAGAAATTGCATGCCAGGCACATTAATTATGACAAAAGTAAAAGGCAGCTGTGAGAAGCCTCGCAACAGCAACTACATTAATGAAAGCGATGCGACAACAAAACAGCAGCAGCAGCAACAACAACAACAATAACAACGTGACAGCAGCAGCAGAAGCAGCTGCAGCAAACGCCTCGCATGCTTCACACGCCCACACAACAGTAACAATAAAAAAAGCTGCGCTGTCATTTATGCTGCCGCTGCCGCTGCTACTGCTACTGCTACTGCCGCTGCTGCTGTTGCTGCTGCTACTGCATCTATTTCTAATTTGCTGACCAATAAACGGCACAGCGAATGAACCCAAAACGTGTCGCGACTGCAATGAGTCATCGTTATCGTGATCGTCATCGGCAACAGATTTGGTCAGCAACATGCAATAACAGTTGGCAACATTCATTGGCAACATCTTGTGAGCTGCTATAATTGTTGCTAAACATGACTTAATTAACTAGTATTTCAATTCTTTGATAAACAACACAAATGGGCTACAATATGTTTACGTTTTCATTATAATATCGTATTTTTGGTAATTTAATTTAAACTTTAATTATTGCTGCAGAAAACCCCTTGAACTGTATCGCAACAATATCGCAAATGTTGACAGCTCGACAAGTAATATTAATTGATACTTTTTTTTGTTCTTTGGTTGTATTAACAAAGTAATTTTTTTATAATAATAAAAGAACTTGTTAAAAGTTGTGTTTACCTGAATTTGCTTTTACTACTTATTTTCAGGCCTTTTACTTTGTTTAGAAAAATGTCGAAAAAAAATATTTATGAAAAATGCTGAAAATATATTTATGAAATATGACAAGTCGTTAAACACACACACACACACACACACACACACACACACACACGCACACAGATATTTCAGTTTGGGGTGGCGCTCGTTTTCCTGGTTTCGTTTTAGTTTAATTTTTTATTGTTGTCTTTGTTGCTTTTGGCTGTTTGTACAACAAATTTTGTTGTTATTTCTAAAAAATTTCAGTTGTATTTTTTTTTTGTAGTTTTTCACGCGCTGTTCGACTTGGCGACATTTCAAAAATGTTTGAGAAATTATGGGCCAGCAACTGCACAACAACTGCGCAGCGGCTGCGACTGCGACTGTGACTGCGAGCGGGGGGTGTAGGTGAAGGGGTCGGGGTGGGGGTGGGGGTGGGGGTGGGGGTGGGGGCTTGGTTACGTGAAACGGGCGGCAAACGGCAAATCGGCAAAATAAATTAATTAAAAGCATATTTAACGCACAAAAAGACTGACTTAACCCCACCACTCCCTCTCCCCTTTCCCTTTCCCTGCCAGTTCAGCTCCTTCGACCCCCCCCCCCCCCCCCCCCGCCTATAGCTAGCCAACGCTACCTCCGCCCCTCCTGCTGCATATATTTGCCTCTCACTCGCACACGCACTTTTGCTGCTCGTTAATTATTTATGGATTTTTTTTGGCACATTTAAAACAACAAAAAATAAATGATTTGTGTTATTTATGACATGTTGCTCCGTAGGGTCCCCAAATGGGGGGTCATGCATGGTGGGAAGGGGGGAAAGGGGGCGTTGGTATGCGGGGCGTGGTTGCTGAGTGAAATTCGGCGGGTGTCAAAAACTTTTGCTCGAGTTGTGTTCTTAGTTTAATGTCTTTTTAAAGGGACAGCCAAATACTAAAAGAGACCCAAACACATTAGGGGCACTCGCTAAATGGCATTCCTTTTCGTCAAGTGATTTATGCACACAAATTCCGAAGCTTAGCTGAACCAACTGTGGCATACGATTTTATACCCTTGTAAAGCGGGAGACATCGCCAAAACCCATAGATCATATATATTCTAGATCAGCATGCACAGCCGAGTTGAAAGACGAGAGCCAGATCGGAGCCAGATCGGATCACTATATCATAGGGTGGCCATAGGAACGATCGGTCCTGCATGAAAACCTCTTTTTAAACTCGGCACTTATAAGTTTCACTATATCATATAGCTGCATATGATGTATAGAATCTTATAAGGCAAAATATCATATTTCATATATCATACATTTATTCTCACATATCTGCAAAAGTGAAATTTCTGCAAGGGTATGAAATCTTCGGCGTGCCGAAGATATCCCCTCTCTCTCTCGTTTTCTCATAAGAAAATCTCTTAAGCTCGAAGATTTAAAAGTTATTTATTAAGCTATTTTTTTTTTTATTTTCTATTTTTATTTCTCTTTAAGAAATGGATTATAATAATTATGTTTAAAAGTGGCAAACGACAGGCTGCATTAAACAAAGATTATTGTTAACACAATCAAATCAACGGGTTCTTAGTTTTTCTCTTAAATATATAATATTATTTTAATATTGAAACAACAAAAAATGTATAGGCTCACCTAATTCAATTATAAATTAGGTTTAATCAATGCCTTAATTTTTTTTGAGTTAAAAAAAACCTGGGACATAGTCCTATTTACGAGTTGGGTTTTTTCATTAACAATCCCATCCATGGCAATTATTTATAAATATATTACAGCGCATATTTCAATTCCCAATTCGAGTGGCCTTACTTTGTGAAAATGTTTGCCTGCATCGAGCAGTGAGTTACCCTAATGCAGCGCACTTTGCTGCAGCTGTGCACGTCGGGTACTCTGACTTAGTCCTGAAATATGTAAAGCATACGATGCCATAAATTATACATATATATTCTCGATCAGCATCGAGTCGATATATGTATGTATGTCCCTTCCTCTGCTGTCATACAAAATAGTCTCTTGGTTAGGTTCTTTAGCTGATCAGATCGGCGCACTATATACATGTATATATATGTCACATTGGATCGGCCCGATCGGTCAGTTATAAGGCTTGGCGGCTGGCAGGGTATTTCAGCTGCGGCCTGTCGCAGTTCGACGCTCTTTCGTGTTTTATTTTTCCTTCGGCTTTTCACTTTATTTATAGGCTTCGCATTTATTTGCCTGTCGCTGAGCTTTTTGTGCCAGTTTAGGCCTCAATTATTTTGAAATTCATTAAGAGTGTCATCTATTTTCAATATTTATGCGCGACGCGGCAACTCTGTCTGCCTGCCACACACACACACACACACACATTCGCCTCATTTCCTCTGCTAATACCCTGCGAAAATGGCAGAAAATGGTATAACGATTGTGCGGCAATGTAGGTAACATATGAATTGAGTCGAAAACTGTGAGAGTTGGGTCTGAAAATATAATTATATATTTTTGTATATCAACAGCTCTTCTTCTATTTTCATATAATCGATAATTATCGATTGCTGGAAATGGGTTTTTAGGCATAACTCGAGAATTATGTGTTCTATATGCGCCAAAAATCTCTTTAAGTACATTCAAATAAAGAATATTTCACTTTTGGGATACACATCAAGAATTTTTACTCCCCCAATCTCCACAGAAAAGAAAACACATTTTTTTATCATGCCACCTTCAAGGCCTGAAAATTTCTTAAGAATCGGACTCTGAGCACCGAGCTAGAATATATGCAATCGCAGCTTGCCGATTTGTTCAGGGTATCTACTAGTCGGGCATACCCGAGTCTTAATTGTTTTTCTTTTTTTTTGTGGTATACTCATTTATTTATTTATATTTTGATGCTCCCATTGCAGTTGCCGCTGTCGCAAAATGCGCTTCTAAGGTGCGAGCGGACCCGACGCTAGCGAGTGCGAAAGAGACAGCACAGCGTACACAAACACACACACACACACATACACAGAGAGAGAGAGAGAGAGAGAGAGGCAACGCGTTGCACAGACAAATAAGGAAAAGAAAAAGGTAAGCTCCGCATTGCCACAAATTGAATAATAAACTTTAATCCCGGGCCTGAGTCTGCGGCCTGGGCTGCGGCTCCGGCTCCGGCTGTGGCGCCCACGCTGTGGCACTCTTTTGATTGTGGGCGTGCCGCACGCTCCGCGCCCAAAAGCCGCAGCGTGGAGCGCCGCAGAAGAATACAAAATGCTGCGTGGCCCACGCACGCTCAAGATGCGCCGCAGTTGTATGCGGCACGTTGTGTGCAGCAGTCGGCGAGCGGCAGGGGGGCGCGGAGCGGGGCGGGGCGGGGGTGGCGGCCGCCTTCAACAGGTGGGGCGCTCAAATTAGACGTGGCCCACACTTGGTGCATGCCACAATTGAAAGGCAAATCCTGTTGCTCTTGTTGCTCTTGTTGCTGTTGTTGTTGTTGTCGCCTGGAATGCAGATTGCCAACTCGTTTACATGTGCAGCCCATCGACCGTGCCCCCCACCCCCCCCCGCTGCCCCCTGCCCCCAGATGTTGCAGCTTGTTGCTTGTGGCGCTTGAGACTTGTTTTTCGCTCTTGTTCTGGTTTTTTACCCCTGCCCTACTCCGGCTGCCCTGTTCCCATTTCGTTTCGTTTCGTTTCATTTCGCACGCCTTGGGCCCGCTGCTGCCCGCGCTGCGCTCCTGTTGCGCTGGTTCCGGTCATCTTTGGGCTTAGCTTCAGATGGCTGGCAACAGCTTCAGCTGCTCGCTGAAAACAGGTTCCATTCCACAAGAATTTTTGCCATATCTTTCTATATATACACGTGTATTGTTGTTGTTCTTGTTGTTGTTGTTTGTTTGTTTTGTTTGTTTGTATAGGGCCATCTTTATTCTATTTGTTGTTGTTGTTGTTGTTGTTGTTCGATTCGTGATTTTTCTATTGCTCCTTTTGGCTGCCGCAGCAATTGTTGCTGCTGCTGTTGTTTCTCTCTCAGGTTTTATTGAACTCTGTGCAACAACAACAACAACAACAACAACAACAACAGCAGCTTGTGGCAGGTGTTAGTGTTTTACAAGCTGTTAACTGCCGCTGCTTAATGGGCAAGCAGCAGCAACAACAATCAGCCCCAGCTCTCAACAACACAACAGCAACAACAACAACAACGGCAACATTAACTAACAGCAACAGTTGTTGTTGTCATTATTGTTGTTCTTGTTGTTGTTGTTGTGTTGTCGTTGCGTTCCGCCTCGCCATGAAATACGCGCTCAAAGATCTACAGCTCAGAGCCAGCTCCAAGCAAGCAGCAGACAAAGTCGCAGCTACCCTGTAATATTTCAGATGCCTAAGAAAAGAGTATGGGCATCTTGTGCATGTTTTCCATGTAGCATTAGACACTTACAATACAATAAAAAAGCATTATTGTTGGATTTTTTGAATAAATATTTTTATTATTATTATTTTCAATATTGTTATCAAAATTATTATTACTACTAATATTAATAATAATAACATTATTATTATTATTATTATTATTTTTATTATTATTAATTGATATTATTATTATTATTATTATTATTATTATTGTTACTACTATTATTATCATTATCATTAATATTTGTAATATTTTTATTACTATTATTATTATTATAATTATTCATTATTATAATCAATTTTTTTATTTTTATTATAAACACAATTATTGTCATTAATATTATTATTAAAATTAATATGTTCATCATTATTATTACGACTATTAAAATTATTCGAATGTAGAGAGAACTTTTTATCGTGATTATTTCTTTTGTTATTGTTATCATTATTATTTATATTGTTATACTAATTATAATTAATAATATTTTATTTCTTATTATTATTATAATCAGTATTTTTATTTTTATTATTATTATAGTTGATATTCGTATTATTATTATCTAGAGGGGGCTGCTTTTTCTCGTGATTATGACTATCGCAATTGTATCTTTCAGCCGACACAATATAATTTATTTATTATCTGCCTAAAATGATCCCGAAATGGAAAGCATCGAAGTCCATCGAAGTATCATCAAGGCGTGATATACCATCACTTATAGCTAGTAGAAGTGGAAGATAAAAAAGCGTTAAAAGCGCGATATTGCATGAAAAACGCGAAAACTGTGCTTTTCCCATTGCATTCTCCTATTTATATATGTATGTATATATGTATGTGTATGTATGTATAGGCACTTGACCTACAGCACCTAGCTACAGGGTAACTGGCCGTCGAGCACTTTTCGGGATTGCCTTAGACTCTTATTCGGCTTCTAGTCTTCTCTCTTTCTCTATTGGCATCTGGCCAGGTAACACGCCCATTTTCTAACGCATATTTCAATTGTGTTAGCGCAGGTTGAAGCCACAGCTGCCCCTCCTTATATGCCGCGCCACTCCCCTCCCTCCTTCCACCCACCGCCCTGGTGCCACTCCTGCTCCGCATATGCTGCTGGCAGCGCTGCTTGCAACGGCTTCGCGCCTACTTCACTAATTTCTAACAGTTTTATGCTAATTTACTGGACAAGCAAACATTTGAAGAAGCCGCTCAAAACGCTGCCATTCACCAAAAGTTGTTGTTTCTTGTTGCTATTGTTGTTGTTGTTGTTGTTGTTGTTAGCCAACATGTGTATTTTGACTGTTAATTTATGCTATTTAATTTGGCATTTCATTTGATTAATAGCAGTTATTGTCTGTCATTTAAAGTCTTTTCTGTTCTGTGGCCAAACAAAAAATGAATATATAAAAACTTGTCCTCCGGTTTTCATCTTCTTTTTATTGTTCTAGTTCTTGTTATATGTTTTATTATTCGGTTTTTTTTTCTTCTAATAATTAAATTGGCCTTTTCGAAGTGTGACTAATCGAATTAGCATGCAACAACGATCCACATTAAAAGCATTGGCAACACGTTAGCTAGCAACATGTTGCAAAGCTCGTAGTCTGCGGGTTAGAAAGCTTTAAGGCAACTTTATATTCATATTCATATTCATATTCATATTCATATTCGTATTCATATTCATATTCATATTCATATTCATATTCATATTCATATTCATATTCATATTCATATTCATATTCATATTCATATTCATATTCATATTCATATTCATATTCATATTCATATTCATATTCATATTCATATTCATATTCATATTCATATTCATATTCATATTCATATTCATATTCATATTCATATTCATATTCATATTCATATTCATATTCATATTCATATTCATATTCATATTCATATTCATATTCATATTTATATTCATATTCATATTCATATTCATATTCATATTCATATTCATATTCATATTCATATTCATATTCATATTCATATTCATATTCATATTCATATTCGTATTCATATTCATATTCATATTCATATTCATATTCATATTCATATTCGTATTCATATTCATATCGATATTCATATTCATATTCAGATTGCAGCTGCTTGTGGCAAATGCTTAGCAACATGTTGCACAACATTCCGCACAATCAAATGTTGTTATTTGCAGTTCATCTTTTATTATTGTTACATTTATTTTGATTGCCATTTGCAGCCAGTAGCTGTACCCTTAACATGCCCCTGCCGCCCGCCCCGCGACTGTCATTTGTGTGCGTGCAACACATTCTTGCAACGAGCCATTCATTTCCTCTGTTCTGCGAGCTCTTTTTTAACTCTTTTTTTAATGCTTTTGCTTTGGTCTGTTGTTGTTGTTGTTGTTGCTGCCTGTTGGGGCAATGGAATGCGCATTAATTTTCAACACACGCAACAGGCTGCAGAGCCGTAGAAGAAGAAGAGGACGGCAAAGAAGCAGTCGCTGCAACAGAAACCTGCGTCAATTTCGCGCTTTACTTTTGTTGTCAGATGTTTTAAATCAGCGTCGCGACGGCCGCTCTCGAGGATCGGATCGGCTCGGCTCGGGTCTGGGGACCTGGCACCTGGGATACCTGTGTGTAGGCAGTCCGGTTTGCGGCTGCTCCTTGCGCTAACAAGTGGCCACCAGGCAGCATGCAGCAGGCAGCGGCAGCGACGTTGTGGCAGCTGCACGCGCCTGCCTCACTCGCTGCCTGCCCCATAATGACTTTCAAATGGGAGCCGCGTTGCGATTTATGTGCGTCAAAAAGCGAGAGAGCGAGCAGGAGGCTGGGTTGAAGGGAGAGAGAGAGAGGGAGGGAGGGAGGTTGGGCCAGACGGGACGGGAACTGGGCAGACCGGGCGGCCGATTCTTGGAATTCCGCGCGCGCTTTTGTGTTCCTTTTTTTATGCCCCTAAACCATTGCAAATGGGTTAAGTAGGGTATATCAGCTATGTGCAAATGTATGTAACAGCCAAAAGGCTGGCATAAAGTATATAGATATATATACATATATATATATTTCCGATCAGCCTCTGTCCGTCTGTCTGTCGATATTCGTGCGTTGATCCTAGGTCCCTTTTAGAGCACAAAGAGATCGATAACCTGCTGCGTTTTCGAGAAATCGATAAAAATCGTTATCGAAATGTTATTTTTCTTAGCATAATTCGATTATAATTATATACACTTTCCAATCCGCCTGTCTTTATGTTTCCAATCTTCCAATTTTGAAGCTATTTTGAGAAAACTTTGCAGATTTTGCGTCTGTTATCGATTTCTGCTGGATCGTGCCACTATATCATATAGTTGCCACAGTTAAGATCACTCGTATATTAAATTCGTAAACGAACGTCTTTTCTTTTCTCAAAATCCTACCTAAATTGGATTACTATAGCATATGGCTCACTAGGAAGAATCGTGCGAAATACTTTTCTCATTGCTTCGATCTCTTGTGTATATCCAGAAATTGCAATCAGTATGCGTTTCACACATCGAATCGAGCTACTATATTGTATGGCTCCTATAGGAACAATCGGTCGAAAATCAAGCAAGTCTGCAAGAGTATTTCAAGTGCGGCTTGCCCAGTTAGCCCGTTTTTTTTTCTTGTCTCTTACTTGTTGCTGTTGCTTTTGCTGCCATCGTTTAAATTTCAAATCGAGAGGCGCAAACTGTCGCAGGGCAAATGCTGCACGAACCCGTTCCACAGGCGTTCCGCTGCCAGCCTGCCCCTGCCCCTGTTCCTTGCCACGCAGCAGCCGGGGCAGCCGTTGCAGCACCTGCAGCCTGGCCTGCTCATAATAATGACACGCCATTAAGAATCTGATGCCCTGGCCAAAGGACTGCGGCAGCAGGCTGGCCACATGCTGCATGCAGCATGTAGCATGCAGCATGCAGACAGCCTCGGCTCCAGTTTAAATGGCACATTGCGAGCGACTGTGCTTCCGTTGGCCACGCCCCATTCGCTTACCACAGGACAGCAGCTCAGTCGCCATGCCCAGTCGCCCTTGCCCCTCCCCCCCCCCCTTCCCCAACCCCCTTCTTACTGCACCCTGTTGTGGTACAGTTGTGCCCAAGACATGACATTCCACAAATTTAACGCCCACTTTTGCTGCCTTCAGCTGTACGAAACTTCATGACTAAAACGTGTTTTTTTTTCATTTTTGTTTATTTTTGGTATTTTTTTTTTGAGAAATTACAAAAAATTTCGAATGGGCTCTAAATGAGGCTTTAGCTGAAATAAATTGGAGTTAAATTATATCGATACATAACGAAATATGCAAGCCTTTATTCATTTTTCAAAGATTTATAAATGGAATACTATATTTTGATAATATATATAAAATAGTTAGCTCAAAGAATATGTTTCTTTGAAGTTCAAGTATCTCGAGGCTATAGAAAATGAACAAAAAGCTTATATTGCTTTTATGCAAAAGTCGAAAGAAAGCATCTTATTCCATAAGTTACAAATACAAATTTTGACCAGCTGTACGTTCAGCTTAGGGCTTATACCCACCCATGCTTGCCTGTCCATCTGCGTGAACCCGTCGATCTCAGCAACTGGAAAAGCTAGAGACTGGAAATTTGAAATATTTACTCTATAAACTATGCACAGTAGAAATGTTTTAATTGCCTTCCGATATTTGCCTGCGGTATCATAATATCGATAAATATCGATTTTCGGCATTACTCGAAAACTATAAATGATATTTGCACCAAACTTGGCGTGCAGCTACTCGAATAGTGTATAAATTTAAGGAGTATTTCACTTGTGTTTATCAAACAAAAATACCCTGTTAAAATTAAAAAAGGCTGTTCTGATTTGTAGCATGTTGTGCTTCGGTATACACACACTTTTCTATGCCTTATTTAAGTCCTGAAAATTTAATAAAGATCGGACTACAGGCACCGAAGTTAATCCGGAATGCATTTCGCATGCATAGAGCAGGGCAAAGGGAAGAAGAAGCACAGCAGCTGCTGAAGGTGATAAAAGTTTGTCAAAATCAAAAAAAAACGAGAAAGAAGTGCTATCTTCGGCACACCGAAGATTTAATACCCTTGCAGACCCAACCTTTTCAAAATGCTCATAGTGCTTTGCCCGTATCTAAGAAGCACAGGGAAAATAGTTAATGCCGAGTATGGTTAAGATATCTTTGAAAAACAAAACAGGTTTCCATACAACAACTTAATTTTCGACCGATCGTTCCTATGGCAGCTATATGATATAGTAGCCCGATGTGAATAAGATTTTGCATAAGTGGAGGGAGCATAGTAAAACTAATAAATGCCGAGTTTGGTCAAGATATCTTGAAAAACAAAAAATATTCCATGCAACAGCATAATTTTCGACCGATCGTTCCTATGGCAGCTATATGATATAGTTGTCCGATCTTAATAGGATTTTGCATATATATGGGGAGCGTAGTAAAACTAATAAATACCGAGTTTGGTCAAGATATCTTGAAACACAAAAATTTTCCATACAAAAACTTAATTTTCGACCGATCTTTCCTATGGCAGCTATATGATATAGTTGTCCGATCTTAACAGGATTTTGCATATATATGGGGAGCTAAGTAAAACTAATAAGTACCGAGTTTGGTCAAGATATCTTGAAAAGCATAAAAATTTTCCATACAAAAACTTAATTTTCGACCGATCGTTCCTATGGCAGCAATACGATATAGTTGTCCGATCTTAATAGGATTTTGCATATATATGGGGAGCGTAGTAAAACTAATAAATAAGTTTAGTCAAGATAACTTTATAAACAAAAATGTTTTTCATACAAGAACATACTTTTCGACCGATCGTTCCTATGGCAGCTATATGATATAGTGGTCCGATCCAGCTGGTTTTGACATATGAACTGCGTGCAACAGAAAGAGGGACTTCTGCAAAGTTTCATAAAGATAGCTTTAAAACTGAGAGACTAGTTCGCATAGAAACAGACAGACGGACAGACGGACATGGCTATATCAACTCGGCTGTTGATACTGATCAAGAATATATATACTTTATGGGGTCGGAGATGTCTCCTTCTATGCGTTACACATTTCACGACAAAATTATAATACCCTCTGCAAGGGTATAAAAAAATCTTCAAGATATATACGAAAAGTAAGCGAAATCCTTAGCTCATAAAATGTGCTGCTCTTTCTTTCCAGCCCCAACAGACATGAGTCCTCTGGCCCTGGCCCTGGCCCTGCTCAGCGGCTGCCTCATCCCCAGCTGCAGCGGAAGCGGAAGCGGGAACAGCAACAAGCTGGGCGTCTATATTGAACGGGCGCCGGAGTCGGCGGTGGCGCCCAAGGGCGACGAGGTGGTGTTCGAGTGCGAGCTGAATCTGAAGCCGGATCGCTTGGAGTGGCGTTTCCGGGCGAGCGGTGGCGGCGGCGGCAGCGGCGAGCCGTATCGTTATCTGGAGCCCGCTGCCGGCTACAATGTGACCAGCAGCAATGAGGAGCGCACGTGGAAGCTGCGCATCTATGTGACCGCCCAGACGCTGGGCGAGTATCAGTGCGTCGCGTGGTATGGACCCGGCGCCATTGCCTCGACGCCGGCCCGGCTCACGCTCGTCTCGATCGCTATTGACAATCCGAGCAGCGGCTACGGCCGGCATGCGGTGCGCTGGAGCGTGGCGCCCAAGAACTGTGTGCTGCTGCGCTGCGGCTCGGTCATCTCGAATCCGCCGGCGATCTGGAGCTTCTATCGCAACGGCGAGAAGCTGCCGCAGACGGAGCTGCTGGCGGGCGCCGCCGGCGCCCTGGTCCTGAACTCGGTCAGTGGCAAGGATGCGGGCAATTATACGTGCGCGGCAACGAATGCCATTACCGGCGTGGAGCTGCGCCTGCCGCAGGTGATTGATTTGCGTGTGGACTATACGGATCGGACGCCGCCGTATTTTCTGCTCCAGCAGCCGGCGACACAGGTGGCCGCACGGCCCGGCGAAACGGTTGTCCTCGAGTGCCCCGGCGTTGGCTCGCCGCGTCCGGGCGCCGTCTGGAGCAGTCCCAATGTGCCCAACATCTATCACAATCGCAGCCGGGTGCTCGCCTACGGTCTGCAGATCACCGATGTCCGGCCCGAGGATCAGGGCTCCTATGTCTGCCGCCTGGATAACGGCATTGCCCCCGTTCTGGTGCACATGATCAAGCTGAGCGTGCTCGAGCGTCCGCGCATCCTGCACGGCCCCAACACCACCCTAACCAATGAGGGCGATCCCCTCTCCTTGGACTGCAACGCCACGGGCCATCCACAGCCGGATATCTATTGGCTCATCAACGGCGAGGATGCCAGCGCCGACAACGAGACGCTTGTCGAGCCAAATCGCCTCCACATCCGCCACGTCCAGAAGCGACACGCCGGCGTCGTCCAGTGCTTCGCACGCAATCAACTCGGCGAGGTGAGTAAAGCAACGAATCCCGCAACTGAGCTCCACTTCCAGCTCCCCATTGTATACATATGCATAACACTTAAAGGAGAGCCATATCTCCGACTAGGGGGATCTGAAATATCAATTTTGGGGCTAAAATAACCCTGCCCCATCGGGAGTTATTTGAAATGTGAAATATTCTAGTTATGCGAATGCTAGACGCGAACTTGCATACCAAATTTGTTGTCTCTAGCTCTTATAATCCTCGAGTTATGCTCGAAAACGATATTTATCGATATAGAGAGAGATATGGAGAGATTGCAACATATTATGGTGTTACCTGGCATATGGTATGGTAGAATTTAGATATTTCAATTTTCTCAAGTCTCTAGCTCTTATATTACCCGAGTTCGATAGGAAATATAGAGAATAAAATGTATATATTTCTATATGTTTATAAAACTCTTTTTACTGACTAACTAACCGACTGATTGCTGATGGGATGTGCGACGCGTCCGCTTAGACGGATTCAAGAAACTTCCACCCGCCAGTGTGGAAAATAGGTGAAAAGCTATATTATGAATCTTTTTGCTTACCAAGCTCACCTCCTAAGTTCTTTGTGACTATTCATTTGAGAGCTTTTCAGAAAACCCACTCTTGAGTGAACAATTAACGGGTCTACATTGTTAAAGAATAAAAATTTCTCACGGGCACTGGGAATGAGTGGAAAGCTAACATCTAACATTTGAAGAACAACAAATAGTATAAAAGAGCTTGAAGTTTTCAGAGTGTGGCTAAAGCTAAAATTTTAAAAAATATAGATACAGGCAAAAAGGGAAGGGAGCATATACAAAATGTAGATTATACAATACAATATACGAAACTCTCCTAATATTTCTTATTTGGTTCTTCTCCCCTCCCCCACTCTCTCTTGGCAGACGAGCGAGGGCAACATTTTGCGCGTGAATCCCACGCAGCTTAGCGGCGAGGATTATCAGCCGCTGGGCGAGGTGCCGATGCGATCGCCCCACGAATCCGGCAATGGTGGCGGCGGCGCCTCCTCCTCCTACTCCTCCTCCGGCTATTCTCCGTCCGGCTCGGGCAACTTTGGCGGCGGTTCGCGCAACAAGAAGCGCAAATACATGAGAGTTGGTGAGTACATTTTTGTTGTTTTTTTTTTTTTTTTTTGGTTGTAAATTTGTTCGTTTCGTGGCTTAGTTCACTGTATTTCATATCGATATACAATTACAATTTGAGAATTGGCTTAAGGGTAAGCGATGATCGGTAATCAATAATCGATACACGACAATCGGTAAATAGTAAACGGTAATCGGTAATCGTTAATCGGTAATCGGTAATCGTTAATCACGGCCAGCCCGCACGGCTGGCCGTCCCGCCCACCCGAAAACAATTAAATTTAATACGAAAAAAAAAGTAATAGAAATAAAAATTAGAAAAATGAATTGAATAAAATTCCAAAAAAATTAATAATATAATTATAGATAGCTATAGACTATATATATATATATAGACTATGTGGTAAACAGCTGCATCCGAGTTAGAGCAGCAATTGCATATCCAAATCCATGTACGCATCCTGCGTTGCCTGCGCCGTCCTCTCGGCGTGCTCCATTTCCATTTCCAACTCCATCTCAACCTCCACCTCCGTATCTGTGTCCGCATCTGCATCAGCATCCGCATCCGCATCCGGGTCTGCGTCCGCGTCCGCCTCCGCATCGCTGATATCCTCCAGATCTCATGTGCTGGAACATTTGCGCAGCTGCTCCTCCTCCTTTTGCAGTATGCGTATCTTCATTTTGAGCTCCTCGACGCGCAGGCGATGCACCTCGCGCATATACTTGAGCTCATCCTGCGCCTTGTTCAGCTCAATCTTCTTGGCCTCGGTGGCCAGCTGCTGCTCCTTGCAGCGCAGCTCCGCCTCCTTCACCTTGAAGTAGTTGATGCGCTCCTCGTAGCTATCGCCCGCCTGCTGCTGTTGTTGCTGCTGCTGTTGTTGTTGTTGCAGCTGCAGCTGCTGTTGCGCGCCCGTTGGCAGCGTTCCAGCGCCGCTTACGCTCACATTTGATACAGCCGCTGGGGCAGCGGTCACCGGCACGGTGACGGGCAGAGGCACGGTCACGGGCACAGATGTGGCTGCCGTCACCGTTGGCAGTGCGCTGAATGTGAAGGTGGGCGTGCCTCCGGTCAGCTGCATCTTGACAGCAGCTGCTGCTGCGGCCGCCTGTTGCTGCTGCTGCTGCTGCTGTTGTTGCTGCTGCTGATGCTGCTGCTGCTGCTGATGTTGCTGCTGCTGGACAACTACAGCGGCGGCCGCTTGCTGTTGTTGCTGCTGTTGATGCGCCGCAGCTGCCGCCACGGCCAACTGTTGCTGCTGTGCCGCCAGCTGCTGCTGCGCCAATTGCTGTGCCTGTGCCTGGGCCTGAGCCTGAGCCTGGGCCTGGGCCTGGGCCTGCTGATGCTGCTGCGCCTGGTACTGGGCCAGCGTGATCTGCTGCGGCTTGATCTCGCTTATGATCTGCTGATTGTAGCCGCCGGCTGTGATTGTGGCCATTGTGTGCTGCTGCGGCTGTGCGGGTATCGTGTGTATCTGTGTGGCTAACGGGACGCAACAGTTTAAGTAAAATATATAATATATATATATATATATATATATGTATATGTATATGTACCTGTGGCATCTGTGGGATGCTTGATTTGCAGTATGATCTCGTCGCGCTGTCGCGCCGGCTTAAAGTGCAGCAGATCGTTGAGCGTCAGCTTCTCCGCACTGATCGAGTCCACGTTGATGCGATGCGTGTTCAACATGCTCGCATTGGCGGCTGCCACCGCGGCGCTCACCTGCAGCTTCTGCATCTCGGCGACCGCCGATTGTTGCTGCTGCGCCTCCGCCTGTGCCTGCGCCGCCGCCGCCGCCTGTTGCTGTTGTTGTTGTTGTTGTTGTTGTTGTTGTTGCTGCTGCTGCTGCTGTTGTTGCTGTGCCTCGAGCGGATCGTCCTCCATTTCGCTGACATCGTTGCCATCCATTTCGATCTCGTCGAAGGGCTCGCCCTGCGGATTATGCTCGGACGCCTCGGGACTGATTTGATAATCTGGCTCCACCTTGACGCTGTCGTGATGCTGCGGCTGTTGCTGCTGCTGCTGCTGGGCGCTGGCCGAGACGGCGCCCACTTTGCCCAGCGCTGCGCTGCCGCCCGAGGCGCTGCCATCCCGATATGGATACTGTTTGCGCAGACTGTGAATGGTGGACGGTGGAGGGGGAGGAGGGGAGGGGAAAGGAGGGAAGATAACAATTAGATGGCTGCACAATCGGGCTGCTCCATTGCCACTTACCGGGAATTCAGCCAGAACTTTTGTATTTGTTTAATGTTGCGCATGGCGCTGACATGCGGATGCGAATTGAAGTCGCGCACAATCTTGTCCCAGGTGTCGCGGACGGAGTACTTGTTGCGCTGCTTCTTTCTGTGCTTGATGTCGATGACCTCCTCGTGCAGATGGAACAGCGTGTAGAGCACATCCTTCTCCTCGGCGGTGAAGCGCGGCGTCAGCGGCAGCTGCCCCTTCGAGCTGCCCGCCGTTGAGCCATTGTTGTTGCTGTTGTTGTGATTGCTGTTTCCGTTCGTGTTGTTGGTGGGGCTGCCGTCGCCCACGCTGATGTTGCCGCTCACGCTGACCGTTGCCTGGACGACGGCGACGTTGTTGTTGTTGTTGCTGGCATTTGCGGCACCGGCGCCCGCATCTCCGGCCGCCGACATACTTTACGATTCGGCAGCTCGCTTGATTCGATCTGCCACGGATTTTGATTGTTTGTTTATGCTTTTTTTTGTTTTTTTTGTCTGCTTTTTCGACCGTTTTGTTTTGAGTTTTTCAGAATGGAATTGAGTTTGTTTATGTACGCCAACGAGATGCGGTATCACTCGAGTAGCGGCTCGCCAGTTCCAAAACCGAGTCCAAGTTCGAGTGCGAGTTCGAGTCCGTTTGCGAGTGCCCAAAAGCGATGCCGAGTAGCGAGTAATAAACGAAAATCAATTGCACTCGTTTTGCTTATACACACACACACGCACGCACACACACTGGGCGAGAGCGAGCGCGCGTGTGTGTGAGCGTCGGTGTGAGTCTTTTTTTGTCTGTTGTCGTCTGCTGTCCGTCCGCTTGCCACTGGCAACTGCCACTTATATTGCACTAGAGATGTGTGTATGGAAAATGTTGCGACGCTGGGCAATTGTTCGCTTCTCGCTTTAAATTGCCATTCATTTAATTACGTTTGCTATTTTATGTTAATGCGCGCGCTTAGCTGGCTCAGGTTTTTTTGTTTTTTTTTTCTTTTTATTGCCTATTTGTGGCAGGCAAACGGCAGCAGCACAAAATATTTCGCTCAAAACGCGTACGCAGCTATAACGATACTACTCAATGCAGCACTGCGATACTACTCAATGCTTGAAAGCGATACTACTCATATTCTATTAGCAGCGCTGTTAGCTCCGTTTTGCGCGCTGTTGGCGCAGTTTGGCGTTAACAGCGCGCGAGCGCGCGTTTGCGTTAACAGTGCTGGCCATAACGTACAAATAAAATGAAAAGAAAATTGTATTTACTCAATTATAAAATGGATAATCTGTTGTTGCAGCCAATATGGTGCCGCCATCGCGACCCAATGTCACACGCCTGGCCGATGACGCCGTCATGCTGCGCTGGAATGTTCCCAAAAACGACGGTCTGTCCATACAATTCTTCAAGGTGCAGTACCGCATGCTCGGCAAGATGCCCCGCGAGAACTGGCAGACGACCAACGAGAATATACCCTATGGCAAGCAGCAGCAGCGGGATCGGGAACGGGAACGTGAACGCGATCGTGATCGTGATCGTGACCATCATCATGAGCCGGCCTATGCTGGCGTCAAGAATTTCACGTCATCGGTGACGGGTCTGCGACCGGATCGCAATTATCGCTTCCGGATCGTGGCCGTCTACTCGAACAACGACAACAAGGAAGGCAACACCTCGGCCAAGTTCTTTTTGCAGCGCGGCGTCGCCAAATCGAATCTGCCGGTGCCCCAACTGCGCGACATTGAGCCCTACTCCGAGTCGGCCGTGCTCCTCCACTGGACACTCGCTCCGACCCCGACGCCCGCCCAGCAGCACCCGATCGATGGCTACTACGCCTACTATAGGCCGACCGCCTCCGCCGCCGAGTACCTAAAGGCGACAGTCGATGGCGGCCATGCGCGCCGCTTCAAAATCGATCAGCTCGAACCGGGCACCGCCTACGAGTTCAAGCTGCAGACGTTCAATGCGCACGCCGCCTCCGAGTTCAGCGAGATCAAGCAGGGACGCACGCTGAGTAAGTCGCCAGCTGCAGCAGTTGGAGTCGCATTAATCTCTTAACATTTCAATCTTGTTATTTTGCAGAGACCTCCAGCCATGCGGGCAGCGGCGCCTCCATGCCCGCCATTGTGCCCGTCTCGACTGGCAGCTCGAGCGAGCAGCAGAATTCCATTTATCCGGTCATCGCTGGCGCCGCCGGCGGCGGCCTGCTGCTGCTCATTGCCATTGCCGTCGCCTGCCTGTGCCTGCGCCGGCGCAACAATGCCCAGCCCGAGGGTGAGTCACAGCCGCTGCTGCGGCCAGGCAATGCTTGCTTCAGCTGCAACTAATCCCGCTGTCCACTTTCAGACGAGAACAAGCCGCAATTGGATCACATTCAAGCCGATTTCGTTACCTCCGCCGTGCTGGGCGTTGCGCCCCACCATGGCCACAAGGCCGGCGATGTCCGGCGTCTGAATGGCGTTATTCCACGCATGAACATCACGCCGAATCCTCTGGCTCAGGATCCCACGGCCGACAAGGTAAGCTCTATCCAACTGCTCCCGCTTCCGCTTCCACTTCCACTCTCTCTCTTTCTGTCGCTCTTTAAGTATTTGCTCCACTTTCCAAATGGCTTTTATATCAAAATGTTTACAAAAACAAAAACCTTTTTCGCTGGTTTCTTGGTCAAAATTTAAAAACGTTTCTCGCCTCGCTCTGCCTCCGACTTGCCTCCAACTTGCTGCAGCCAAAACTCTGTCCCTCTCCCTTGCTCACGCGTGCTCTCTCTCTCCCTCTCTCTCTCTCTCTCTCTCGCTTTTACTCAGACGCTTTTGGATACCTCTGGAGTAGGTTTGTAGTCCACTCGTTCCCCAAAGCTACCCAAATCTTTCAACTCTTGTGGTTCCTTCCGTTTATCCTCCGGCTTAGTTTTTTTGCAATGCACTTGGAATAGAAATAAATAAAAAGAAATTATAAATCATGTAAAGCTTTTTTATCTATCTCTACCAAATTTGCTGCTCTTTTTGCTCTCATTGCCTTTCTCGTTTCTTCTCTTTCCTTTCCCTTCCCTTCGCTTATTTTCGCTTTTCCTCGCTCTTATGTATTTGTTTCTGTCTTTATTTCTTTTATATTTCTTTTCATACACTTCTTTCGCTCTCTCTCTTCGCTTCTCTTTTCTTCGCTTTTCCTATACACGTCTACTTTGCATTTGTCTGTCTTTATTTATTTTATATAAATTTGTATACATTTCCTTGTCTCTCTTAATTTGTCTTGTTTCTATTCTCCTTAATTTTCCAATTTCTTTCTTTTATATTTTCAAATTCTTTCTTTCTTTATTCTTCTTCTCTTCCTTTCTATCTGCTTGCTCTATGAGTTTCTCCTCAATTTGTCTCTATCTAATTCTTCTTTCGCTCTCTTTCTTTGCCTTCGTTTTATTTTGTTGTCTCTTTTCTTATTTTCCTCTGTGTCTGCTTTTTGTTTTCACCCTTCTCTTCCTTTCTTCGCTTGTCTTCTTATCTTTTTTCGTCTCGCCTTTTCTTTGCCTTCACTTTTTCCCTTTCCATTCTTCCGTCTCTTTCTCTTTCAATGCCTTCTCCCCGTCTTGGTACTCTCTTCCACTTCTTGTGCTAGCTTGTTTGCTGCTCCTTCTGCCTCGCCTCCTTCTGCCTCGCCTCCTTCTGCCCCGCCTCCTTCAGCCTTCGCCTCGCCTTCACCCGTTTGTTTTGGACTCGTCTCGCTCCCCTCTGGTTCGTGGTCTCCCGCCTTCTGTTCATCTGATCTCTCGTTGCGCTCCTCTCTCCACTCCCCCGTTCGCCATTGTCAAACTGAGCGTCCCCTGTTCCAGAATCGCAATGTCATGGAGCTGCGCTTTCTGCCGCCGAATGGCAATGCCACGCCGGAGCATGCCGCTGCGAATGCCGAGCCGGATCCTGGCGCCGATCTCTATGCGGATGCGGATGTCGATGCGGATGCGGATGCAGATGCGGATGAGGCTGGAGATATTACTGGCAGCGTCAAGGCGCTGACCGGCGCCTCCTCCTCCTGCGAGACACTGGAGGCCTGCGAGGGTCTCAGCCAGCCGCAGCAGCAGCCGCAGCAGCAGCAGCCGTCGACGGAGGCGCCCAGCAAGCCGCTGCCGCCGCTGCCGTTGCCCAAGAAAACAGCCGCAGCCAAAGCACAACAACAGCAACAACAACAACAACAAGTAAACTTAATTAGCAAAAAGCAAAAATCAGTTGAGAAACGTTTTTTAGTTTATTTTGTTGCCAAGCGACCAGCGAATATATGCAACACCTGCCACCTGCCACATGCCACATGCCACATGCCACATGCCTCTTAAACTAAACTTGAACACACACTTATCTATCGCCCTCTCTCTCTCCTGCAGGGCAACGCCTTGGCCGTTGCTGCCGCCGCCGCCTTGCATCAGCCTGGCCTGCATCATGCGCAGCCTTACCATGCGCCCGGCACGCCCACATTTGCGCACAAGCGTCACGACTATCAGCAGCCGCCGCCCGTGCCACCGCACGCCGCCTACTATCAACAGCAGCATCAGCAGCAGCAGCTGGTGGCTGGCGGCGCCTCGCCCATGTTGGATCAGCAGCGACGCACCTTGGAGCGCAGCGTGCGCAGCTTGCAGCAGCAACAGCAACAGCAGCAGCAGCCACATTCTGGCTATGGCATGGAGGATGGCCTGGCCACGCCCACGCGCATACCCTCGCTGCGCCGGCAGCGACGCGCCTCCGGCAGCCAGCACAACAGCCACACAAATCTCACCAATCATCACAACAACAACAACAACAACAGCAGCAGCAACAACAACAACAACAATAACAACAACAACAACAATGTGGCACATCATATGCTGCACCACACGCACCACCCGACGGCGCACACCGGCGGCAGCCACGTGGGCATACCCCATGTGCCGGGCAGCCCGCGGGTTCAGCGCTCCCCGATGCCCGCCCGCGCCCTCATCAAGCGCACACGCCTCGGCAGCCACACGGACAACATCTCCTCGGGCAGTCTCAACAGTATTGAGGTCTAGTTTCTAACACGCGACACAGCCCACAGCCACGCCCAAAGTAACGCCCACGCCAGCCGACTATTCATATATAATTATTTGAATTTTTGCTAATTTATTTAGTCCTCGTTGTTTTATCGCATGGCTTGTGGGCGTGGCTGCGCCCTCCTTTTTTTTTCATTTAAACATATATTTTTTTTTGTATATTTAGTGTTATTTATTTATTTAAATTTAATTAACGCAACAACAATTTGCATGCATAAATTATGTTGTATTAGTTGTTGGCAACAGCCGCGCCCCCTACCCGCCCCCCTCTCCGCGCGGCACACCATTTGGCTAGCCAGAAGAAGAAGAAGAAGAAGAGGAGGAAGAAGCATAGTAATAGACCTAATTTAAGTCGTTCAACTATTAACGTTAGATTCGCAGCCTAATTTTAACACTTATTTAAGCGCCTAGAACTAGAATTAACTCGAATTTTTTTTTAAAATACACACACGCATATATTATGTATAGATTTATGTATAAAAGAAATCCCCACACACACACACAGAAATCTCCTAAATAAAACACAAAATGCTATAAATTCTGTATACAAATAATATAAAAAGTTTCCATATTATACATAAGTATTGATCAAATGCCCCATGAAAATGTGCCAAATGGGGTAGGATGATTTCCTAGAGTTGTATGTGACGAGAAGTAGAAGGCATCACAGGATGACGAGCTAGCTCGAGCGGAGATCTACGCCAGCCTGGATTGATACCTTGATACCTCCATCTAAAAGCCCTGTAAATTGCATAAAGATCGGACTCTAAACACCGAAGATCATTAAGTATGCATTTCCATACTAAGTGTGGTGCAAAAAGAGACGAAGCTGGCAATGGATGTTTTAGGCTTCGAAATTCTACCTATTGTAGATATAAGTAGGATCTTGGATGAACAAGATCTTGACTGCCTCAAATACATATTTCATACAAGCCCATTTTCGTAGCTGAAATATCCCCAAATGGATCCCATTGTGAAGAAGTACAAAAAATATTGTTGTTTTTGTTTTCATTCGATTTATTCAGATAGATTTTCTTGTTTAAATTAACGTACAAATTGTAATAATAATCGCACAGCTTCGCTTAAACGAACCAGAACCACTTCACAGAAATGTTCAAATGAATCAGCGGACCAGGAACAGCTGCAGATGTGGCTGCTGCTCAGATGTTCACATTGATGTGCTGCCGTGCAATACAATATCTACGACTAACTCGGGCAACTGCAGGAAACTCGGGTAACTCGTGTGTGAGTGTGCGCATGCCCTGAAGAGAAGAGAAAGCCATTCGGTGTGCTGTAGTCGGGCATGCCCAACTGAGAGTGAAAGCTGGCAAACAAGAGCATGTGCGAAGGAAGTATCACAGCAGATATCAATATGTAGATACACAAATATAATATATATCTATATATATATATATATAGATAGACATATATATATATACATATATTTTGGGATAACTCGGTCAAATAATGTTCGACTTGAATTTTTTACCATTTCGAAATGTTATACCTTTTTGAATTGGTAGGGATCCCTACTATCAATTGGCATTCAAAGATTTAAAAAATCGATGGGTAAAAAAAAGTGGTAGACCAAAAACCGATTCGTTTGTAAAGTCAACGTGTTTTGATGATTTTTTGGAATATCTCGGCCAAATAATGTCCGATTTGAGAATTTTATACTATTTATACAACAAAATGGCAAGGGGTTACATCACTTTTTTTTTCAAATTCGGGGTCGGTTCGAAAATCGAAACTTTTTTGATGATTTTTTCCTATTATCTCGGGTAAATATCGTCTGATTTTGAAATGTAGGGATCCCTACTATTAATTGGCATTCAAAGATTTTAAAAATCGATGGGTTAAAAAAAGTGGTAGACCAAAAACCGATTCGTTTGTAAAGTCAGCTTTTTTTGATGATTTTTTGGAATATCTCGGCCAAATAATGTCCGATTTGAGAATTTTATACCATTTTGGACTCATAAGGATCAGTTCTATCGATTGGCATCAAAAAAATGAAAATCTAAATTTTGACCAAAATCAACAAAATGGCAAGGGGTTACATCACGTTTTTTCTCAAATTCGGGGTCGGTTCGAAAATCGAAACTTTTTTGATGATTTTTTCTTATTATCTCGGGTAAATATCGTCTGATTTTGAAATGTTATACCTTTTTGAATTTGTAGGGATCCCTACTATTAATTGGCATTCAAAGATTTTAAAAATCGATGGGCTAAAAAAAGTGGTAGACCAAAAACAGATTCGTTTGTAAAGTCAAATTTTTTGATGATTTTTTGGAATATCTCGGGCAAATAATGTCAGATTTGAGAATCTTATACCATTTTGGACTCATAAGGATCAGTATTATCGATTGGCATCAAAAAAATGAAAATCTAAATTTTGACCAAAATCAACAAAATGGCAAGGGGTTACATCACGTTTTTTCTCAAATTCGGGGTCGGTTCGAAAATCGAAACTTTTTTGATGATTTTTTCTTATTATCTCGGGTAAATATCGTCTGATTTTGAAATGTTGTACCTTTTTGAATTGGTAGGGATCCCTACTATTAAATGGCATTCAAAGATTTAAAAAATCGATGGGTAAAAAAAAGTGGTAGACCAAAAACCGATTCGTTTGTAAAGTCAACGTTTTTTGATGATTTTTTGGAATATCTCGGCCAAATAATGTCCGATTTGAGAATTTTATACCATTTTGGACTCATAAGGATCATTACTTTCGATTGGCATCAAAAAAATGAAAATCTAAATTTTGACCAAAATCAACAAAATGGCAAGGGTTACATCACGTTTTTTCTCAAATTCGGGGTCGGTTCGAAAATCGAAACTTTTTTGATGATTTTTTCTTATTATCTCGGGTAAATATCGTCTGATTTTGAAATGTTATACCTTTTTGAATTGGTAGGGATCCCTACTATTAAATGGCATTCAAAGATTTAAAAAATCGATGGGTAAAAAAAAAGTGGTAGACCAAAAACCAGTTCGAAAATCGAAACTTTTTTGATGATTTTTTCCTATTATCTCGGGTAAATATCGTCTGATTTTAAAATGTTATACCTTTTTGAATTGGTAGGGATCCCTACTATTAATTGGCATTCAAAGATTTTAAAAATCGATGGGTTAAAAAAAGTGGTAGACCAAAAACCGATTCGTTTGTAAAGTCAGCTTTTTTTGATGATTTTTTGGAATATCTCGGCCAAATAATGTCCGATTTGAGAATTTTATACCATTTTGGACTCATAAGGATCAGTACTATCGATTGGCATCAAAAAAATGAAAATCTAAATTTTGACCAAAATCAACAAAATGGCAAGGGGTTACATCACGTTTTTTCTCAAATTCGGGGTCGGTTCGAAAATCGAAACTTTTTTGATGATTTTTTCTTATTATCTCGGGTAAATATCGTCTGATTTTGAAATGTTATACCTTTTTGAATTGGTAGGGATCCCTACTATTAAATGGCATTCAAAGATTTAAAAAATCGATGGGTAAAAAAAAAGTGGTAGACCAAAAACCGATTCGTTTGTAAAGTCAGCTTTTTTTGATGATTTTTTGGAATATCTCGGCCAAATAATGTCCGATTTGAGAATTTTATACCATTTTGGACTCATAAGGATCAGTACTTTCGATTGGCATCAAAAAAATGATAATCTAAATTTTGACCAAAATCAACAAAATGGCAAGGGGTTACATCACGTTTTTTCTCAAATTCGGGGTCGGTTCGAAAATCGAAACTTTTTTGATGATTTTTTTCTTATTATCTCGGGTAAATATCGTCTGATTTTGAAATGTTATACCTTTTTGAATTGGTAGGGATCCCTACTATTAATTGGCATTCAAAGATTTTAAAAATCGATGGGTTAAAAAAAGTGGTAGACCAAAAACCGATTCGTTTGTAAGGTCAACGTTTTTTGATGATTTTTTGGAATATCGCGGCCAAATAATGTCCGATTTGAGAATTTTATACCATTTTGGACTCATAAGGATCAGTACTATCGATTGGCATCAAAAAAATGAAAATCTAAATTTTGACCAAAATCAACAAAATGGCAAGGGGTTACATCACGTTTTTTCTCAAATTCGGGGTCGGTTCGAAAATCGAAACTTTTTTGATGATTTTTTCTTATTATCTCGGGTAAATATCGTCTGATTTTGAAATGTTATACCTTTTTGAATTTGTAGGGATCCCTACTATTAATTGGCATTCAAAGATTTTAAAAATCGATGGGCTAAAAAAAGTGGTAGACCAAAAACAGATTCGTTTGTAAAGTCAAATTTTTTGATGATTTTTTGGAATATCTCGGGCAAATAATGTCAGATTTGAGAATTTTATACCATTTTGGACTCATAAGGATCAGTATTATCGATTGTCATCAAAAAAATGAAAATCTAAATTTTGACCAAAATCAACAAAATGGCAAGGGGTTACATCACGTTTTTTCTCAAATTCGGGGTCGGTTCGAAAATCGAAACTTTTTTGATGATTTTTTCTTATTATCTCGGGTAAATATCGTCTGATTTTGAAATGTTATACCTTTTTGAATTGGTAGGGATCCCTACTATTAAATGGCATTCAAAGATTTAAAAAATCGATGGGTAAAAAAAAGTGGTAGACCAAAAACCGATTCGTTTGTAAAGTCAGCTTTTTTTGATGATTTTTTGGAATATCTCGGCCAAATAATGTCCGATTTGAGAATTTTATACCATTTTGGACTCATAAGGATCAGTACTTTCGATTGGCATCAAAAAAATGAAAATCTAAATTTTGACCAAAATCAACAAAATGGCAAGGGGTTACATCACGTTTTTTCTCAAATTCGGGGTCAGTTCGAAAATCGAAACTTTTTTGATGATTTTTTCCTGTTATCTCGGGTAAATATCGTCTGATTTTGAAATGTTATACCTTTTTGAATTGGTAGGGATCCCTACTATTAATTGGCATTCAAAGATTTTAAAAATCGATGGGTTAAAAAAAGTGGTAGACCAAAAACCGATTCGTTTGTAAAGTCAGCTTTTTTTGATGATTTTTTGGAATATCTCGGCCAAATAATGTCCGATTTGAGAATTTTATACCATTTTGGACTCATAAGGATCAGTACTATCGATTGGCATCAAAAAAATGAAAATCTAAATTTTGACCAAAATCAACAAAATGGCAAGGGGTTACATCACGTTTTTTCTCAAATTCGGGGTCGGTTCGAAAATCGAAACTTTTTTGATGATTTTTTCTTATTATCTCGGGTAAATATCGTCTGATTTTGAAATGTTATACCTTTTTGAATTGGTAGGGATCCCTACTATTAAATGGCATTCAAAGATTTAAAAAATCGATGGGTAAAAAAAAGTGGTAGACCAAAAACCGATTCGTTTGTAAAGTCAACGTTTTTTGATGATTTTTTGGAATATCTCGGCCAAATAATGTCCGATTTGAGAATTTTATACCATTTTGGACTCATAAGGATCAGTACTTTCGATTGGCATCAAAAAAATGAAAATCTAAATTTTGACCAAAATCAACAA